GAGAGCTAGTAACGTATACACCAGTTCTAATAATAAGTGAGGCTAAGGCAAATTGTACACTCACCTCTAAGGTCGGTCTTGCCATGTGCGAGGCGAATAGTTCCGCAACTGCAATAGGGTGCCGCTTTATCTGCTGAAAAAAAAACACTGGAGCGCTTCCAGGGAGTGGTACCCAAGTGCCGTCTCCCTAGCCCCATTGATATCAAGGTGCCGTAGCGGAACCCGCATTCAGCCGTAGAGAACAATCAGTAAGGAGAGAGCGCAGGCAAGTAGCGCATTTGTCTATGGCTAGGTGCCCCTGGCCGTGCAACAGCGCTAGCGTTGTATGGAGGCAGAGGCCGTACCAGGGTAACACTAACCTCCTGCTCCGTTCCCATGCGCTTTTCACTGGAGCTGCGAATCCATTCTTCCTAAACACGGTAGGAGATCTACGAGGTGAGTGTACAGTTTGTCGGGGAGTGGTGGGGCCCAGATGGATACAGTTTAAATTCTCAATTAATGGGGGGAGGGGTGAGGCGCGTCCAAAAGGAATTAATCAGCGTGGAGAGTATTTTTTTTCTTGTTTCAGATCGCTCTTCACGCCACAACTGGAAACATTATCGAATCTCTTCAAGAAAAACAATTATGAGTTAAGGTTCGTTTTGAAACAATGCACGTTTGTACATTAGTAACTGTAATCTTCTCAGTTTTATCGTTAGCGTCGTAGGCACAGTGGTAGGGACATGAAGCTCTTGTGAATTCTTTGTATCCAAATGACAAGACCAAACGATGTAGTCTTGTTCGCTACGAATGCTGAGGCGTGTCAGGTGGTCTGGGACTGAAGCGACGCCAGCCTCTTCTCCACTCATATGCTTGTCTCACCACTGCTGAGGCGTGTCATGATCTGAGATTGGCGCGCCCCAGCCTGCCCTTCCACTCACTGTTGAGGGGAGGGGGGAGAGCGACAAGATTTTGGTGGAAATCGGTGGGTGTGCGTCAAACCTCGCTCCCCCCCCCCTCCCCTCTCCACGCTACCTAGCATTCGCAGCAAATGACACTGTAAAGGCGTCACCTCGCGTTCTGATCCTGCGATACAGGGAAATCATCTGTATTTCCTCTCTATTCCTGTGAAATTGCTTGGTATTTGAAATCCAAATGCAAGGTACTTTCCGCAACCCTGCCTTTCCGGCAGTTCAAAAGCCCGTCCTTGTTTTGCGCGTAACAAATCAAGTCACGTGTGCGGCATTCACACCAGGATCTGGTTGATTAATGGAACGTGGCAACGCATCAACTTCACCGAGTAGTAAATTATCCACTTGTTTGCCTTAAACTGAATTCCCTGAGCTATACCGTTTTTAAGTCATATAGGTACCTTAGCTCCTAGGCACTAAATTGAAATTTAACTTTTGACCCCTATCATCTAATATTAGTATACGCACGATCGATTTGTGTATAGGATAGCTGGTGGAGCTGTGCGCGACCTCTTAATGGGCATACGACCTGCTGATGTGGACTTCGCCACTACTGCGACACCCACCGAAATGAAGGTATGTTCAAACAGGTATGAATGAGAATGTTCTTGATCGATTGAGTTTCTCAGGAACTATTTGAACGTGAGGAGATTCGAATGTTGCATAAGCGAGGAGAAGAGCATGGCACGATAACATGTCGTATAGATGATGCCGAAAATTTTGAGATCACAACATTGAGGTGCAAAAAGGTCTATTCGATTCTTTGCAAACTCTTTTTGGATTTATTTCCACAGATGCATGGATGCTTTAGTGCATGTTTAATGCGTTCCATCCACACTTCCTACGAATTACAGAGTCGATTTGGTTTGTGATGGGACGTCGTGCTGAAGTACAGTATACGACTGATTGGCAGCTAGATGCTAATCGGAGGGATTTAACAATCAACTCGCTCTTTCTTGGTGAGATTCGTCTACCCATTACGTTCATGTTTCCCTCGTCAGTAATCTATTTCTTCACCGTATCAGGGAACTAAGGCTGTCTGATAACTCTTTGCGGCAGCGTACACCAGGGGTCACTAGCTTCCGAGCGTCCGCCAGCGTTAGAACGTTAGGAAAGTGTAGGTGTCGATCTAGCGTCTGCCAGCGTTTACAGCATCCACCAGCGTCTGCTGGCGTCTCGAGGCTAGGGAAGTATAGATGTCGATCTAGTGTCTGCCAGCGTCTACCAGCATCCACCAGCGTTCACCAGGGACCGAAATTAGAGCGATAGGGAAGTACGAGGGTAGCAAAGTACGAGGGTACTTGTGGGAGCCAATAACGCTCAGTAGTATAACAATGTTCGATCTGCTGCATGTAATATTATCTTTCTCAGATCTCGATGGAAACGTCATCGATTATTTTGGTGGCATAGGAGATATTGAGAAAAGGCGTGTGGCATTCGTCGGCGACGCTGTGCAACGGATCCAGGAAGATTACCTCAGAATTCTAAGGTGATAATTGCTCTATAAAATTGGCACTAATGACCTTCGCATTGAACGTGACACGAACAACAGTTCTCAAAATAAATCAATTTCAAGTCCCATGGAGAAACAGAATCCTCTAACGTTAGACGTGGAATTCGTTATTGAGCCGAATGCATATGAGCACATTCTAGGTACTTCCGCTTCTTTGGACGTATAGCAAATTCGACTCAGCACGATGCTGACACCCTGAAAGCCATTAAAGAAAACAGTCACGGGTTAGCGGTAAGAGCTGGTCTTCTTGCTTTGATATTTTCACAAAAATGTCGTAGTGGTTTGCTAGCTGACGCTCACGAAACAATAATAAGAACCATCAAGAGCTTTCCCAAGTATGAGATCATTTTGTGATTAATTCCTATCTTGAGGCCAACCGCTGACTCGAAATGTTCAAAATTCTTCTTTCGAACTGAAGTGCCATGATTATGATTTACTAGATGCTTCAGGGTATCAGTGCCGAGCGAATATGGACAGAACTAAAACGGATTGTGGTCGGTCGCATGGCAGATCATGTAAGAGTTTCGTATCGTACTTCGCTGTTATAATGATCCCAGACAGCGTTAGGCTGCCGACAGCTGCTAATTGCTGTTTTGGGTAGATAGGATCTTGAGTTTCACTGAAACCTAGAGTTTCCCCACTGCTAGCGCTAATTCAGATGATGCCTGTCGTGACAAATTAGCGTTCTTGTGAATGAATTAGAATTCCTTTTTGTGTAAAAGATTATCTCTTCCAGCCGGTTGGTACCAATGTTGGTTTCTAAGTAAAACTGAGAGTAATATTCGTAAAACTAGTTGAGCAAGCTCCGAGTGATTGGACCCTTTCTGAAGTGTGCTGCACATTCAACGTCCATCGAAATTGCTTTTGAATGCTATATTTGGCATCAACAATGATGCCAGTCTGAGGGCGAATCAGACTTTTAGCTGTATTGATTCTGGCTCACGAGTCTAATGCCCTTCAGAGACAAAATGTACACTCACCTCCATGGATCCTGGTTCTAGCCGTGTGTGGGGTGTATGGGTTCACGGCTGCAGTTGCTCCGCCCGTGTTGCCGTACGGTCAGCCACATACCTAAGCATAGCCAAACGCGCTACTTGTTTGCGCCCTCTCTCTTTTTGTAGTTCCGATTTCATGCTTCACTGCGGTACCTTCGTATCGTCGCAAGTGCTACACCTAGAGTATAACGCGGACGGAATATGGAGACGACGCTCGGGTACCACTACGCTTGATCCTTGCTGCCGTACACTTTTGAGCGGAGAAAGTAGCACGCTTTTGCAGCTTTAGACTAATTCAAGTCACACTTGGTAAGGACCCTCCACGAAGAGACTGAAAGTGTGCCGGATGGGTGAACCTTTTCTGAGATTTGGGTCCCGAACCATGCGTGAAAAAAGTGGCGCTACCGTCCTACCTTCCCAGAATTCACTGTTTCAAAAAGGGCTGAGGACCATCGGACGATTTGGAAATCTTGAGTTACCGTAGCTTCGGTTGAAGCTAGCGGTGACAGCCGCCGGCAAATATCGCACACGTCCTCTAAATAGTGATGAATATAATAATATAATAATAAGTAATATAATAATATCCCTTCTGTCATGGCTTTTCAGGTGATAATAGAGGGGTAGAGCCTTAGTTGTCCAATATCAAATTTATTTTGAAGTACTTAGTGAGTGTTGCTGATGCTTTGAATTTGATTATTAAACTGAGTTTAGGTGATCCGGTGTATGCTAGAAGAATGTAAGCTGCAACAATATCTAGGACTACCGGAAAAGTGTGACGTGGATCGCTTCGCTCGAGTAAGTGTACGGTTCAGCCATTAAAGACTCGGGAAAATGAAAAGATGACGGATATGACGCTCTGGGAGGTGCTATTTGACACACCTGGGAAGAAAACAGCAGAAAAAAATCGTCGGCGCTGTTTATCGACGGGGGGGGCATTTTGTATTATAATTGCTTCCCTGGTTCCGGTTTACAAATCTCACTCTGGTAAAACTTGTGAACGCTTGTGAAGCTGGAGCAAGATCGTCTAGCCACCATCCTAAAACGTGTCAACTCGAAAAAAGGGTACCTAGATGGGTTGGCAAATCTATGAAAAGCAGAATGCCCCCCCCCCGTCGATAAACAGCGCCAAAATCGTCCAGAACGCTTTGAATAAGACTTCTTCGAAACAGCTATTGGTAGACACTGGTGTCAACTGTGGTGGAATCGTTCCGTCCCTCATGAAACCGCTCCGACTGATTGCTGCGATATGAACTGTAGCGTGTCATAGCATTGCTCCCCAAAGTTAGTGATTGTTGGACCAGTGCATGAGTATTCAGGTGTTTTCGAAATACAAAACTGGTCTCGAGCCGATGCTGATGATCGCTTGTCTTTGTGAAACCCAGGAAGATATCGAATCATTCCACAGAAAAACAAAGGTATGTCCCAGGTTTTGGTTCCCTATGGCTTGTATGAGAGATGGTGCCTCAAAATGTAGGCGCTTTTGTGATCCATGTCCCAATCCATCTTTGCTGTTTTAGCTATCAAATGCCGAACGACTCCTTGGGGAGTTCATTGTCGCTCATCGAAAACAGGCGGAGAACGCATTGTCCACGAAAAATATGGATTGGTGGAAAGATATGATTGTCGAGTTGGAAGTGAATCCTGGTCATGGTAAGCTTTCGCAAACGCATTACGGTCATAATTTTTATCGAAATGAGTGAGTGACGCTGTTGTGGTGGACGTGTAGTTCTCCCGAAGTGGAA